AATGGTGCAAAGCGAGGAAAGAACCGCTACACTAACCCGCTCCCCCCAAAAATCTTCCTGAACCCCACTGAAGATTTTGAAGGATCCAGGCAGATTAGGGTAACAAGCCTTTCACAAAAACATTTCTGGACCTTCACTCCTAAATGCCTCAAGTTTGGGTTGAAAACCACATGATACCAATGCGTTTCTGAATTTTTCCCTTCAGTTCCAAAGACACTTTTGTCAAATTCTGGGACATTGACACGCAGCACTGTTTCAAGACTCTGGTTGGTCACAGGACTGAGGTAAGTTCATTGTGGGTTAATGCCCTTGTCTGAAATGAGAAGTGTGACTACATACACAAGCACTACTTAATACTTATGGTCAGTGACTCAGATCCAGTTTAATTGCTTCGAGAAGTCGACCTCCATATTGTATTGACAATAAGGATTGAATTGTCAATGCTAAATGGGTAGAACATTAGTAAATTAAGTTGCACAGACCCACATACTAAGTAAGTAGCTGGCTGATCAGCGTAGCATCCAACTGATCAATCAGTTGACGGATCAATCAAGCCCTGTGGCAGCTGAGGTTTAACCACGCCCCTACCAAAGTCTTGACATGCTTGTAAGTATGATGCTTATGACTGGGACATGCAGTGTGGCCTGGATATTTTCAGAAAGAGATCCATCAGTCCATGAACTACCTAAAAATTAACTGTTTGACTTCCCAACTGTTTGGTTTCCCAATCCGCCTTGAGCAGAAGCACCCCTGCATTGGTTGAAAAGAGCTGTGTTGATCGTGAGTTTTCATTCTTCTGGTAGCGACGCAACAGTAACGCATGCATCATTTCGTAGTCTGTGGACCAGTGAAGTGCTGTTCCAACCAAAGGAGCCTCCGTTGCCAGGGAAATTGCACCCTCTCTTTATGCTCTTGGACCAGCTCAGGGCTCATAGGGGTTCAAATTTCACACTAGATTGCTGGACAGCGTCCATTAAATTATGCTGGACCTAATGTTTTCTGGCCAGCGTGTTTCTGCAGAAGAACACTAGAAACACCGCCCCCCCCATTCACAGAACAAAATGGACCTTTTTAGCAACACCCGTGCACGTCTAGTGTTGATGTTATTTGGTCATCATGTGAGAGGGTGTGCTTGGATAGACATCATTCTTAAATTCATCTAACGTAATACAAAAGTGACTGGTAACTGCATAGCTGTTGTTTATGATCTTGTGCTGTTTCAGTCTTGTAAAAACTGGTTTCTGTCCAGTGCACTTTTGAGACACTGGACTGGTAGTCCAGTGAAAATCAGACCAAGCTAATTAACAAATAACAGCTGATGATAGGGCTGAGCTGAATAACTGAATATTCGATCGATTGTCAAATATATGAATATTATTTTTCAAATTTGAACATTCGGATGCAAAATTTGTGAAAAACAAGGGAAATGTTCTTTTGTTTAAAATAAGACAAATTGTACTATGGAGGGTTGTTTCAAGCAATTTCAAATGAAAAGCGTCAGAAATCTTACATCGATTTAAAAAGTAAATTATTCATTAAACAATTGAAAAGGAATAGAAATTTTCAACAGGGCAAGAAGTCTTGTTCATCTGTTAAATCTTGCTAAATCGTGGCTGGAGATACTCCTAGATGTAAGAAGCTATGGAACAATTGTGCGCATCAGTGTTGCATTTGAGTCCATCACAAGTCCTTTCACAAGTCCAGTCACAAATCCCTTGACAGGGGCAGTCCTACATGTACAAGTAAGTAACAGGGTGAACAATGACAAAAGACTGCTTTTGTCACAGTTCATTTGAACAGCTTGTGAATTGGCTTAAGACTGAATGACTTCCGATGGATTTGTAACAGACTTACAGGGACATGCAGGGACTTGAATACAATGCTGGTGTGCGTTATTGCAACTGATTTTACATGTGGTTTGTTCATCAACAATCTGCTGATATTCGATCAAAAAGTGAATTATTTGAATTGACTCAGCCCTAGCTGATGACCACTCCACCACAATGCTGTACCCTTATTATACACTTGTAGCACATGGTACATATACCTTCCACCAGCCCACTCATTCACCCACATTGTGTTTCATTGTTGACAGGTCTGGGACTTTGTTCTCCTTGGCGCCGACCAGAGGCTGGTGACGGGGGCTGCAGACAGTGAGCTTAGAGTCTGGGATATAACATTTCAAGATGAGGAGGTAACCATTGTAACCATTAGGGTAATGTTGTGTAACCCTCTGTAAGTACATGTACATGCATTTTGCTGTGCTTTACAAAATGGAGATCCACTGGTGGATTTTGTTATCTCGGGAGGGCCTTGCTCTTTGTACAAAAAGTGCCAAAAAAAGTGGTTTTAAAAGATAGAAATCTCATGACCTGACAAATTTTTCAATCAATTTAATTTTTTTGCAGTGTTGCTTTCATAAAAAAAATCATTTACAATTGCAAGCATTGGATTTGGAATTTTGGAGTTAGTTCATTTCCATGAATTTCACCATAGACATGAATACATGTATTAATTCAGAAAAAAGAGTATAAATGCTTTGAATTGTACGATTTCTACATTTCAAAACAATCTGATTCAGTTTCCGAAGGTTGTAGTTACATACACTGTTTATATTTTACTCAAACATCAGAATGCTACGAATTACATTTCAGAGGAAATAGTGTTTTAAAACCATGTGAACTTTACATTCAATGCAATGGTAAATTTAAAAAATGTTACAGTACAGCAGACACTACATCCAAACCTCAAATACTGAAAGTTCTCAGGTTGTCTATTAATATAGTTTAAGATTATTTAAGGGTGATGATTTCTTACAGATATATTCAGTTGAGAGGTACATGTAGGCTGAAGTGGCTCAGCTCGGACGAAGCGACTTCTGTTAAGATGCGTTGAATATACTAACATTTTGTAATGTCACTTAATCCGTTGACCCGTCGTGGATTTCATTTTGTAGGAGACCACTGACGGTTCCGAACAGCCAGCTAAGAAGCAGAAGTTGTCCTCTATCATCGGTGAAGACGAAGAAGAGGAAGACGAAGAAGAAACAGTAATTTTGCCCATTCATTTAACAATCATTGATTACTGCGATGTAGGATGCCATGCTTTTAACATCCTCGGGAAGGTTGTTTTTTCCATTACAGTCTTACTCATGAAATATGGAAACTTGCATTAGTATGAAAACCAAAGAGGCACCCAAAGACCTTTTCAGATTGCAAATATTTGATTGGGCATAAGATTAATTGAAATACAAGGGGGGTGGTTTCAAGGGTGACAAAAGTTGAATTGCATTGGCCCCTAAATCCTCCAACTTCCCAATGGACTTGAAGATATACACACGTGTACATAAAACATAAAAATCCATACATAGAATCAAGCCTAAAATGTGGGATTAACAATACAAAGAGTCATGTTCGATGAAATGTAGTAAGACATGCATTAAATGTGGTTTTCTCTTCCTGTTTGTCTTTTGATAGAGCATTCTCAGCTGCAAGGGTGTGGGATCCATCATGCGGAAAGGTCGTCAACGAGTCGTGTCACTGTCAACTGACGGTACAGGAAGAGTGCTGTGTTGCCATGTAAGCTGACCAATGATTGCGTGTCAGCTGTCAGACCTCGAACCAAACAGCAGAAATAAATTTTGACGCCATCATTTATTGTATTTCTTAAAAGTCAGTTAAATGATCTTCCAGTAGTGAAGTGTTTTTAAGACGTTCCTTTGCATTTTCCCGCAGGGTGCTGATTGCTGGTTGGAAGTCTTCCTCGTTTTGTCCGCCGAAGAAAAGAACAAACTTCTTAGCAAGCGCCAGAGAAAAGCCAGAAAGAAAAGCAGGTTGGTTGGGCATCTGAACAGCTGGACAGGCTTGAAGTAGAACATCGCTAGAGTGCTGAAACTAAGACACAACTCCATTTGACTGTGTGCCAAGAGGTTTTTCATCCAGCATTTTGCTACCACCCTGAGTGGTCAAGCAATAAAAGTGTAACCACCACTTTGACCAAGTGTTTGTGACTGTAGCGAGCCAGGCTTGGGGAAAGTCTGTTCAATTTCCTGATA